TAGGCCTATATACAGTATAATACCTCATATAACAAAATGCTAACCTTAATAAATTGTCTACATGAAGATGATACGTTTTTGACAGCTACTATCTGTTCTGACGTGAGGTCGTAGGTGATATTAACTTGGAATGAGGCGTGGTCCTCGGCGTTGTTCACGTTTCCATCTTCCTCTTTATCGTGATGAATTGTTGAATAACCTTGATTTAAAAGATTATTTAAAGTCTCTTTAATCAAATGACAAGATGGATAAGAAGGAACACTTTAAAATTTGACAGCGTTTAGTTTCTTAATTTTTATTTTAATATAGGTATAACCCAAGAAAAAACAAGAATGAAGGAATTCTATGTTCAGCTCATATCTTAAACAATTAAGCATCTCAAAACAGCCATTCGTCGACACGCCAACAATTTCCGTCTTGAATTGCCTTACGTCCGTATTCTAAAAACTAACTTTAGTCGAACTTCGAACTAGAACTTCATTAATGCTAGTTGCAACTTTAACTTCGATTAGTATTCACAAACAACGTAGTCGAAGTTTTAACTACGACTAAATCAACTCCTAGTTTTAGTTCAACCGTAGTCGACTGGCAAGCCGCGACTATCAAACTAACCAATGAAAAGAGCTAACTTTAATAGCAGACGAAATTTTAGAGATCCGGTAACGCGGGTGAATATTAAGCTGCCGTTTGTGGTTCAAAAACGTATTTCCTCATAATTCATAATAGACCATCATTCGCTTAATTAATTTTCTATAATAATAACTATATTAGTTGTTAACATATTACGATAAATAAGAATAACAGTCACGGAAAATTTGCTTTCTATGGTCTGAGCGAGGGCGGCGCCATCTTTGTTGTTGTTATGGTGAAGATAGATGATCGCAACTCGAGGGGATTTCGTGCAAATCAGGAACTATCGCATTTGGCTAGAGCAAAACATGTTAATTTCTCTTTTTGGAAGCTAAACTTGATGTCTCTATTGTTTAACACACCGAAGATATATCAAACATGCGTATACAATCATTTTTATTCGTTTCACTTTATCGTGAGTTACAACAACACGTTTTTAGTGGGGTAAATATTTCAAGTCGACGATTTAGCCCAACCCTAGGCTGACTAAAAAAATCGGTCTGCGGAGGTATCATTTTAGTTGAGGTTCGCGTCATTTAAATACGAAATGACGTAATTTTTAAGTTTTAGCTCGAACTACGACTAAGTTTGTTTTAAGAATACAGGGGTAAGTCTCAAAACCGCGCGGGAGTTACGCGTGTTTACGCTGTCATTTTGTTGGAACTTAGCAACAATAAAGGGGCGGGGCTTAAGCATGGTTTTCCATATTTATATAGGGTGATCCTCCCAGCGTATCTTACAAGGTCGGCTGATATTCAGGGTCCCTCTTTAAATAAATGAAATAATGCGATGCTTTTATCAGTGAAGTTGTTTTGTCCTGAGAAAAAGTCCTGCAGTGACAGGAATTGAACCCAGGACATTTGGATCAGAAAACAAGCATCTTAACCACTGAGCTATTCAACTCCACTCCATAAAAATTTCTACACGCTATCGCCGACTCCTTTGGCGACGCTGATTGGTCAGTTGAATCAGGGAGCGTTCCGGATTGCGTCGGGGACAACTACGCAGTGCAAGGTTTGCAATTGAAAACGCTGTAGATTGTGTAGCGATTTTAAGAAAATAAGGCTTTAACAGAGGCGGCACTAGTGGGGGTCGAGGAGTCAAAGGACCCTCGTCGGGGACAATATTAAAGGGGCGGGGTTTAAACTTGGTTTCCATAAAAATCGCTAAACGCTATCGCCAAATCCTTTGGCGACGCTGAATCAGTTAGCATTCCTGATTGTTTCCGAGACTTCCCGATTGCGTCCGAGACAGCCGCTACCGTACGCATAGCAAAGATTGCAGATTGAGTGAAAACGCTGTAGCGATTGTGTAGCATTTCTATGGAAACAAGGCTTTAGTATATAGTATCAAGGTGCATGTATATTCATGAGCGTTTCTCACTTATGACTAAAAATAAAAAAGTATCGGTCTACCATCAGCATGGTGTGTCTAGCTGTACTTTAAAATTTCTAAGTAATTGCTGCGAAGCAGCCAATTCATATTATTGGCAGCAATTTGACCTCTGAAAGGTCATTTTTTGTCAAAAAACGAGTGCCTAAGACGACTGAAAAGCGGAGTTTCCCTCTTTCGTTCTGCCGGGTAAAATCAATTACTTTAGGCGACGTTTGTAGACTAACCTACTCGTACCAACGTCAGCATGTCGCGACGCTGGAGTACTATTCAGCGTTTTGACTATATTTCTAGGTTTCCTATTTCTACGTTTAATCGGCTCATGTCTCAGCCACAATATTTTGAGGCCAATATTATTTACGAACCCAGTTAAACTTATTTACTAGCCTATTTCAGCGTGCTAATTATTACATTTAGGCGACGCTTGTTGTAGACTGGCAT